TAGTTTAATATTCTATTTACAAGATTGTTGATTAAATTCACTTACAGTTACAGCGCAGGTGAGCATCCATAGATCTTATTGCAGTGTTTAAGGCTAAAAGACCATGGCACTGCAAATAACTCTGAAATAATTCAGAAAAGTAGTGTGGAAATGTATATATTGTCATATATATGAAGAAAGAGACAATTGAAAATGGATCAAAATATTACCACATGGTGAATATGAGTAACACACATAAGAGTTGCTTGCACTTTTGAAACTTTTCTATAAACTTGAGATTACATAGGAAAAAGTTACTTTTTACGAAATTTACAAACACATGACAACATGATTGGTCATAGTAATAAGAAAATGAATTTTAAAAAGCCATATTTTTATGAAATAAAATCTAAATGAGAAATATGTAATAATAAATTGTCTTTTGAGCATACGAAAGACATTTTTCCTAGATAGCTGATGAGAGCATAAATTGCTAATATGTTGTGAAGGTATTTAATTTGTAGTGAAAGTATTTTGTTGTGTATGTCTTAACCATAAAAGTATACATCTTTTTGCACAATTCTGATTTAAGTAATTATTCCATGAAAAAAAGAAAATTTCAGGATATTTACAAATATTATGCTCATTGTTATATAACTATTTCCAGGAGAAGTTTACAACAATCTGCCTTTTCAACAAAAGTAAGATAAATTATAGTAAATTCATGAAAATAATTATTGTACAGACCAAATGAAATTTAAAATATTTGATATTATTTCATAAGATCTTTTGATGAGTTATATGAAAGTAGATCATCAAAGTATAAATATATGACACTTTTCCAAAGTACCTGAAAGTAAAAGTTAAAATTATGCATGAGTAGGGAAGAAAAAAAATTAAGGCATATATAAGGTACACAAGGATTTCCTCAGAATCCAGACTCCAGGACTTTGACTTTTAAGTGTCATATATGAACTTTGAACTTTCGCAATCAATCTCACATAAAAGGGCAGTTTAAAAAAATTTCTCCTCAGCTTTACTGAAAACAATGCCCTATGAGGTGGCCTAGGAATGTGAATTTTTAAATAGCACTCATTCCATAGCATGCTAACATATAATTTGCCTGAGATTAGTTAAATTAGTTAAGTGTTTGGGAAGAGTACATTTAAGCCAATTCAATAAATTAGACTATAAAACAAAGAAGCTTACTGCTAATGTTTTGCAAAAGATGAGTTTCTCCTTTCTTTGCTCAAGTCCTGGGCAATCTAGTTTCAGCATTTGTTTCCTTACTTTGATTCTTCTACCATTGCCATTTCTGTGAAAATATGCTTAATACCACATTTCCTTAGAAGCTGTGACTTTTTCTATTTTGCTTATCTTCTTGAAATCTAGTATCTAACTGAATTGTTGTTGCCCATAAATCGCTTTCCAGAACTCCTTTCCCTAAACTATCTGCACCCTCATTAAAAAAAAAAAAAAAGCATAGATTTTTCCATTACTCACTCTCTCAACTCTAAAAGATCTATGTGTGATCCTTTACTGATGTCACTGCCTGCTTGCCCTTCCATGTTAGCTGCCATAAGGTTATCAAATAATTTTATCAACTTCGAGGCTGGGGTTACTTCTAACGTCTGTTGAGATATCTGCCTTCAAATCCCTGCCACTTCCAGATGTGAGTGTCTATTCCCTTGGTTCTAGAGATGTACTCAGATTTATTATGATAATTTCCACTTTTGCCAGAATTATTGAAAACTAATTTCTACTCAACTGTCTGTGGAAGATTTCAGCAGACTGAAAAAAAATATTTATACTTTGTTCCAAAGTATGAGAGTAACTTTAGTATCTGTTTGATTTGGGGCAAGTTACTGAAATTCTTTGTGGCTAAATTTTCACAACTGTAAAATAGGGGAAATAATAGCACTTCCTTTAAAAGTTGTTGTGAGTTTTAAATGAATTAATATATTCAAAGTGCTTAGAATAGTATTTTCAAATAATATTTGTTACCCAACATTATGATGATGATCAGATAAATAACAAAAGATACAACACACTGTAATATGCCCATGTGATAACATACCACTCAAGAAAAAGTATTAATAAAAAAAGTTTAGAGCATTTTTGTGGCATCAGTATGCTTGAAGTAGGTTAATGTACAAGGGGAGATTCCCAAAAAACAGAATTTACTTATAAAAAACCATGTATTTAGTTTTACATATTTAAACTTCAGTCACCTTCAAAGTACTCTCCGTTTGATGCAATACACTTATTGAAACGCTTTTCCCACTGCTCAAAACAGTCTTCGAACTTGTCAATTTTGATGTCTTTTAGTGCTTCTGTGGCTTTTTGTTTCACTTCTTCCACATGGGCGAAATGTTTCCCTGTGGGATTTTTTTTCATCCAGGGAAACCAAAAAAAGTCGCACAGGACAAGAATGGGTGAATAGGGAGTGTACAGCCTGGGTGGGGGGTCATGGCGTTTTTGGTCAAAAACTGCTGAACACTCAGCATGATGTGAGCAGTGTCATAGTGAAAGAACCAGTCACCTGTTTGCCATAGATCAGGACATTTCTTCCGCAAATCATGTACAACCTTCTCAAAACTTCTAGATAAAACCTTTGGTTGCCCGTTTGATCAGAAGAAACAAAATCCAAATGTATTACAAGGGGCCTGCCCTCCAGAAGAAAATAATAATAATAATTCTGTGAGGTTTATAGGATTAATGTTTCCCACCAATCTCTTGGAGTGCTGCTTTCCAGAAAACAACTAACCCAGTGGTAACAGAGCTACAAGTAAATCTTAACAGCAAAATGCCAGGGTGCAAGGCTAACTGAAAGTGATCTCAGAGCCAAGACCATGATGAGTGTCCTGCCCAAGCTTTAGCACGTATGGTTGCAAACTGCCAGCAGTGTTAATGCCATGTCAGGTGTCTCGTGGTATTTCATCAGTGTCACTTAAAAGACCCACTCCATTGTTAATCATCCATAATGTGTGATAGCGAAGCAGCCCTTTCCTACTCATTCTGATTCAGCTTGCTGTTTGTGACCTACATCTTCCCACAGGACGTGTGAGAAAATGATGACACCACACAAGCAAAGCAGCTGCTGGGTGTTGATCCACAAGGGAAGAAGCTCTCAAGGAAAACAGGAAGAAGACGTGCTTTTAGGCTGCACAGAAATACTGTATTGAATAATGGGGCATGCTGAGAAATCAAGTGATGAAAGAGCTGAAGGGACAGTTGCCGAAGGTGGCTCATTGAAGTAAAAACATTGAGCAGAGGAAAATTTGCCAGCTTTTGTAATCAATTCATGTTGTGAGTAGGCCAGTTTAAACGTTTGTTAAAAATAAGAATCTGCTTGTAACCAATTGTTATGTCCAGTTTCCTGTCAAAAGATGAAAATGAAATGTGCGCATATATGTAATATATTTTACATAGTGATAAGTGGATATGAGAAACATGTAAAATGCTCTGATGAATTCACAAACATCAAAAAATATCCCTCTACAATTGCAAGGTTTGAGAAAAAAGTCAACTACATGTTACCACAAAAAACAATGCAGTGGCCTTGGGTGGCAGAGAATTTTGACGTTTGGATTTTAAAAATCACATATATTCAACCCATGGACTTTCATGTGGGCCTTCAGAATGGCTATATTTCAAACAAACCTGCCATCACTTTACAAACTATTGCAAAAATGTCAGTTCACTTGATTTTTAAAAACCCTTTCGTCCTTTAAGATAGACAATGTATCTTGTAACTTTTGTGTAACTAGGTTATTACATAAACTATATTCTACAGCCACTACAAGTTATTATGATTGTGAGGTTTATTATCCAATCAATACTGCCTAAGCAAAAATTTTGCAGAAAAGATAATTTTAAAAGACCAAAATGGCTATAATCTTGGAAGCAGTTGATATGAAATGGTATTAAATTAATGTTGGTTAAAATTCTGTTTCCAACAGCTACTAGTGGCAGAATATATAGTAAGTTTCTTATTTGTATAAGTCTATCTCACTTTAAAATGGTAGTTAATACGAAGCTCATCTATTTGTTGGAATGATGTAACATATTTCATGAAAATTGCCAATTATAATGACAGACAAGGTAGAATTGCAGCAAATGCCAGATCTTATATTTGCTTATTTGAAATGTTAGCACACTATTAAAAACCAAAAATGGGCCGAGCGTGGTGGCTCAAGCCTGTAATCCCAGCACATTGGGAGATTGAGGCAAGAGGATTGCTTGAGTTTGCGGTGCGAGACCAGCCTGGGCAACATGGTGAGACCTCTTCTCCACAACAAATCAAAACATTAGCTGAACGTGGTAGCAAGCGCCTGTAGTTCGACTACTTTGGAGGGCTGAGGCACAAGGTTCGCCAGAACCCAGCAGGTCAACCCTGGGGTGGCCATAAGCGTCCCACTGCACTCCAGCCTAGGTGACAGAGTGAGACTCCAACTCTGAAACAAAAACAAAAAAACAAAAAAGAGCTTACTTGCAAACACAATCTAATTAGTCCATAGTGAGTCCTAACAGGAGAAATTTAAAAGTAAAAACTGTCATTTACAAAGCATGTACTGTATTGAGAAATCAGGCATTAAAAGAGTTCATGAACTCCCCCCCGCCAAAATATTTATTTAAAAAGGCTAAGCCTGGAAGCCACTTGTGTGCTCCAGAGCACATGCGTTGGTGGTTGACAAACATGTCTTTTCTACAGAATTTGGTGAAGATCATTCACTGTATTTTTCTTTTCTGACCAGAAAATCATGGCTTCTCATTGCATATGACTGCCTGCAGGGCCCCCCCGAATAGGAAATGACCACGATTTGTTTGACTTTAATAAGTGTTGGAGTGTTGGGTTGTGGGGTTGGAAGGGGATACACATAAGAGACTTCCATTCTGTTAACAGAACTCGTCTTCTGATCTGTGTAATTCTTACAGAGTACTTTTCCCATTTATTTCTTTTGCTGTCTTTTCTAACTACATAATTGGCACAGATTAAAGGTGTAACGAATTTCAATAACAGCATTTCTTTAGAACATTGTGTACATCTTTAAATCTCAAGACAAGCATAGAAAAAAGGTATATGCTATGGAAGAACATACATCTTAAAAGTTCTGATAGAATTTTGAAAAAATACACATTTTCTGTTGAAGTGCATCTTCTTTTGGTTAAAGAAGCCTCTGTGCTTTTTTCTTCGCTCCTAGAAGAGCGACTGCCAGGGGAAAGCATGACTGTGGTAATACTTCTAATACTTCTGCAAGTGACTCACTGTCGCGTTCATACTATTAGCTCTGAACAGATGTCAGAAAGTGAAGATTGGCTGCCTCTAGATCAAGTTGCGGCTGCCAGCTCTCGCGAGCTTTGTCAGTAACAGTTGATTGCAATGTCAGTGCAGTTCAGTTCACCGGCTGGAGCGGCAGCTGCAATCTGCATATCCCTGAAGTATTGCATGGTTTTCACTCCTCGCAAACTTTATCCTCCTGGTGGCGGAGAGTCAGGTAAGTTGCTCTGAATTTACAACCTCGAGCATAGGTGACAGTGACAGAGGCTCCTTCTGTGGGAGGAGTGTGGCCTCTCACGTGTGTGCTGCTCCCCTGTGGTGCTCTCGGGGGACCGACCGTCACAGCGCCTGCCAGTGGGACAGAGGAAGGGCAGGCACATTCGTCGGATCTTCTGTGGTCCGGGGACCGCAGGCTCAGTTCATTTAGTTGCTGAGCAAATAATGAATTGATTCCACTCTGCATCACGGAATTGTATGTTCTAAGGGAGTCCCCCTAAGAAAAAACGTTTTGTACTGTTTTATCCTTTAAATGCACACTGCTTAAGGAATCTCTCTATAAAACTGTAACAAAAGTAGTCTTTGACTAGTCTTGTTCTGTTTCTGTTTCTTTTTTAAAAAATTATTGTTCTACTTTTTTAAGTGGCATGAAGTTAATAACTTTCTTATTGTCTTGCTGAACAGGGTGCTTTTCTCCATCAACGTTTTGTCCTCTGAAACTTTCCCAGGAACTGACAAATGAGAAGTTTAATATTTTTTTTTTTTATGCAAAAGGACAATCTACTTCCTAAATTGGCTTACAAACTTATCCTCCGCCTTTTTGTTCTCTTTCTTTTTATATGTGGGTTTAAATTGTAGCAAAAATATTTTACATTTGCTATTATTTTTATTATTATAGAAATAATAACCAAATAGAGACTTTCTGCTCTTCTTATAAACGTGTAGATCTACCATTATTTTGATATTAGTTCTAGTTTAACCAGGGAATTAAGCATTAAAGAGTTTAAAATGTATGAATGATTAAAAGTAAACTGAAATATGAACAAAAAGATTTCATTGTTTATAATTTTTACTTGTTTTTATTCTTGTTTATGAGTGTGACTTCTACATTTTTTTTTTAATTTTTTTTTTTTTTAATTTTTTTTTTTTTTT